CCTCTCCTCCCATTAGCTGTCCCCCCCCCCCCTTTATCACAAAGATAATGAAAAACCCTAGCTTATTCTCCCGTCAGTCGCCACCTCCTCCTAACCCAACCATTTTGCATTGCTAGAAGTTGCAAAACAGATGCTGTCCAATGGTACAGGTCTCAGCCTATCCAGCAATGGCACAAATGGAGGAGCAGTGGCAAAACCTGCAAATCACTGCAATAGGTTTGGTCGAAGAAAAGGGCTTTAGTTTTAACTGGAAAACCCAGTTAAATTTGCTAAATGGATCGCGAATCACAGCTTCAGTCAATCAAAAAAATTGCACGTACCCACCATTCTGTGATTTTGCATGGTGATTTTAACTATCCCACAAATTTCTGATTCTGTTTGTAATCAGGATCGCCAGGGGGTAGCAATATCGTGTAACCATAAGATCTTGCAAGTCAAATCATGATTTTGACCATGCCGGATGTGAGTCACTGTGAATGTTTTCATCAGATAAAGCAGACCTAATCCTACCATAACAAATTATTGGACTAGAAGCTTCAAAACTGATTAACAATCATGATTTTTTTTATCCTTTTTCCTTTGGAAATCACACCCTCATCATTGTATTACTTTTCCCGTTGTCTAAAAACTAATTTCATAATTAAAAACAATAAATTCATGGAAAATGGAAAAGAAACCTTTAAAATCTAATAGAGAGAGAAGAAAAACCAAATTGAACTAGTAGTAGTACAAGAATATAGAGGCAAATGAAACGAAATACATGTCCATATTATTTAAAACGTGTCTTTTATATAAGCAAGAATACAATTTTAACTTCCCAATTGCATTATATAAGCATCAGATACAACAGATATGTAGAATTTTTAACTGTGGCCCAAACAATTCACATTTGGTTTTACAAAGTTGACAGAACCCAAGGTGCAATCAATAACATGTATCAAATTTGGCAAATTATTTCGTGCCCAGATCTGACCAAGAAGAAATTGCATGCGACCAAGAATACTAATTATCAGATAAATACATAAATCTTCTACCAAAGTTACATCCTGTGATGATGTTAAAAAAATATATACCAATTGATAAAAACCAGTATGGAAAATTTCTTCACATTTCAAAAGTTTTAATGCAGACAGATACCCCATGGCCAAAGACTCAAAATGAACCAGCAACACAATTTTGAAACAATGTTTATGACAGCAATATAAAAAGAGAGACAAGTATAATGTACCAGTAAGGACCAGCGATTTGGATCTCGCATTATAAATGGGAATACTTCAGAAGGTTGCATCGTCTCAGAAAGCAAGAAATGGTCCACTGCTTCTTCAAAATGTAAGTCAAAAAGCAAAAGGAATCCCACTTGAGCATGAACAAAAGAGAGCAAATCCTTTGACATTTCACCTTCAGACTCAAGTTCCTCCACCAAGGATATTGCTCCCTTATAGTTTTTCTTCCTCAGAAGGCCTTTTATTTGTTCTACAGAAGGTAATTTCTGATAGCACACTACCTGGTAAAATATGAAGGGAAAAAAAAAAATTTAAATTCTTCAATGAGCTAGGACTTTGACTTTCAAAATAAAATTTAATTTGACAACTAACAAAATAAATTGACACAACGTAGAATCTAATAATTAATTGAATCATGATCAACAGTTAAAAATGCCGTATACAGAACTAAAAGTAATAGAACAACAAAAAACACACATGAGAATAACTACATTACAAACCACTTACAAAAAGAAATACATAAGTACATTACAAACCATAGTCAATTATTCATGCATTGTCAATGTCCTATACTCATAATTTAACATAACTAAAAATATCCAACACATGGAAATTTAAATAAGGGGCCCACGATGGCATTTCTCGCAGCATCTGCAACGCAACACTGTCGCGATTGCATGATTGCATTTCTGCTGACACCCGCTATGTTTTGGCCCAATAGTGCCGCTATAACTGATATTTAAAAACATTGATCACATATGATTAGTCTAAAAATTAAGTCAAGACTTAGGTTAGAACAATGGGATTTTAGGTATATAACAAAAAATCAATGTAAGTATAATGAGTGGTTCGGTTTGGTTTGATTTAGTTTTCACAATAGCAAACCAAAAACCATAATTACCAATCACGGATAGCAGTGCAGAGCGACTGAATCCAAATATGGTATAGTGGTAAGCGAGATAACCACTATTCTAATATTCATTATATATATTAACTAATTAATACGACATATATAAATGCTCAAAATTGAAATTTATTCAAAATTCATTAACTATTCATAATTAACAATAAAATTTCATAATACTTATATAAGTTGATAGCAAAGGAGGATAACAAAGGGTCAACAAAATAAAAAGGATGCAACTGGGCAGCTGCAGGGTAGTGGGGAAAAAAAGAAAGAAAATTGATTGAAGAGAAAGAAGGAAAGTGAGCAAAGGAATAAGAGCCAACTTTTTCTTCTCCCTTTGATCTTCGGTAAGATCTCGATTATGACAACCTTGTATATGAGCATATAGGCCATTGCATTGAGTGCATTCAATCCAATGTAATGTGGTGTTTAATGAGACTAATTTCATTAATAAATCTAGGACGGAAATCAAATACAAGCTATGAAGACCCAATACTTGCATTTGCCCCATGTCTCTGATACTAATATTAATACTGTCATATACTTCACCTATATGTTTCTATGAAATATCCAAGTCTTTAAGAAAAGTTATGAAAATTTAATAAAGCCAAATATGAGACATAGAAGCATGCATAAGATAGAAGAATAGAAGCATTGTTTCTTGATGAACCAAAAATGGAATCTATCCACTTTATGGATATGCTCAAGAAAGGAAAGAGATTGATACTATTCCTGATTGTAGACAATAAGCACTAAGCAGTGATTTACGGTAACAATGGTTTATAATTTTTATTTTGTTTTCAGTAATATCCAAGAACTACATTCTTAATTTGGATTTGCATAATTGTAATTATATATTTATTACAATTATGTATGTATGATAGAATACACATATCACATTCAATACACATATCATATCTATGTATGATAGAATACAAGCTTCAATATACCTGGCCATCAGACAAGTCCTTTTTCTGCCTACTTGGTTCCAATGTTTTAAATCCCAGATAGTGGCAGGTAGTGACCAGCCCCAAAAGCACTATAGCGAGATAACATATAGTGAGATAGAGACAGCCGCTATATTGAATTTTTTTTATATAGTTGATAGATATAATGTATACTATATACATAAATTCTCAAAAATGATAAAAAAATAAAAATAAAAATAAAAATAAAAAGTTACTCAAAATTAATGACATTCATAATTAACTACAAAAAGTAATAGGTGTCTTATATAAAACAAACAAGTAAATAGAAACAAAAGGCAAATACAAGTTGGAGATCTAGTGATATGGCCAAAATATAGTATATAGGTGTGGAGCAATCCTCACCTTAGAAGTAGGTTTTGTAAGATTGAGTTAGACTCAAACCCACATTTTAAGAATAGGAATCTTCAATCATTATCATCTTATAATAAATCCAAGTCTCTTTTAACAATTTCACTATTATTACGTCTGTAGTTTCCATTTTGGAAATTAAGATCCCAAAGAAGCCCGCCAAAAAAACCTAATTTCCCTATTAAGCGGGATTTTTTTAGAATCAACACATAGTGCCACTATAGGCCCTGCTACGACCAATATTTGGTACCCTAGTACCTACACTAAACCTCCACTCCAGCAACCCTTGTAGCAGGAAAGGGCTGTTCCACACTGCTATAGTTACGCTATTTAAAACCCTGCCTGTTCCAATATTGACACCTGCTGGACACTCCACATTGGCATCCAATTAAAAATTATATTTTTGTTAACTCATACACTTAACCTGACACCTCCATAAAATTTTGAGACTTGAGTCAACACTTATGTATGGATGGATTGGAAACACACTAGTATCATTAAGGGGGGAAAAAAACACCTTTAAGAAAGTAAGCTTAAAATATTAAAAGGCAATGTTGTTCACTTCATTTATAGGAGAAAGAGACTCAATATCATAGAAAAATTGTAAAACCTAGCAAGTTAATTTGAGAAGTTGAATATACTTTTCCTGAAAGATACTAATTTCATTTTCTTGTTTTGGGGTCTTCTATAAAGAGAGCAAATGCTTACATGGTAAAATAATCTCTCTCTTTATTTTGTAATACTCATCATCATGTTATCATACTCTACCAAAAAAACTACTCGTCAATTGTCATAGAAAAAAAGTGAATATACAAGAATTTTAAGCATGCTATGTCATGATTACAGATCCAAATTGCAGAATAAGTTTCCAAAACTGATACAAGTTATTTGTGACCAAGGTTTTAAAGAAAAGGTCCATGACCACAATTTTAACCACAATGTCAAGGTTTTCAAGGTCTCCACAATTGTGATTTTAGCGCAATGTCAAAGTTTTTGGGGTCACATGTCTCTGCAACAGCAATTTAAAACCTTGATGGTTGCATTTCCGTAAAATGAAGTTCTCTGAGTGATGCCATCAAAATGCAAGAAACACTCAAAAGCCAAACCTATTATCTACAGGTAATGTATGTAAAATAGTGATCCATCATTATCATGAAATATTCCCAATTCAGTTTACCTCATTAATCCAATATCCTAATATAACATTTATCAAGAAATCAAACAACTAGCTTAGCCAATCATCCTAGAAATCCTAACAAAGCATGATAGCGAATTCAGTGGCTATATTCTGAATGATTATCACATTATTATCAGATTCAAACTAGAACATACCTTAGTAGCAGTTGCAACAGCAACAAGTCTCCCACCCCTATCTTCCTCGCTGGCAACAACACATCGCCCAACCCCTTCCCCGCCGAACGGCAACACCTGAACACAGCTACCATTCCTCTTATGATACAACTCAATCTTCCCATCACTCACAACCACCACATAGGAATCAATCTCTCCTACGGAATCCAACCCATAACGGAACACCAGACTCCCCCCCACCGGTTGCCCATGCGCGTCAACAATAACCCCCACATTGTCCACCAACAACAGCACCCTCCACTCTTTGTGCAACAGCTTCAGCCGCGGCGGCCGCGACACGTCCGGCAAGGAGAAGATCACACTGCTCTGCCCAGTAACACAGGATATCAAACTATACCCATTCACAGTACCAACAATAATGGAATCATTAAGCCACACCATGGCACTAACAACCCCGTCAACACACTGAATCTCCTTCAAAGCCACAAGAGCACCACCACCACCATCATCCCTTTCACTTTTCCCATTCCTATTTCCCAAAACAAGCTCCACCAGAATCAACCTCTTCCCAACAACAAGCGCAAAAACACAAGCACCCTCACTCTGCACCTCCCTAACCCCTCCCAATTTCTGAAACAACCCCAGACCCGAACCAGAACCTAATCCCGAACCTAGACCCTCGGATTCGCCGTTCCTGAACCTTCTCCTCGCGACCAACGACACGCCCTTGGAGAAACTCAATTTGGACGCGCGATTCGAGAGCTCCGAGTCCACCAAGAACAAAGCCCCATCGGAGAGCAATAGAACCTTCCCGAACTCTTCGATAACCGAAATGGACTCGACGGCGGCGTCGCTCACCGAAACGCTTCGCAGGAACGAGAGCTTCCGCAGAACGGCGTTGTCGTTTTGGGCGGCGTCGTTGTCGTTGGAATCCGCGGAGAGCGAAAAGAGGGTTCCGGAGTGAGTGCCGACGTAGAGGAAGGTCGTACGGTGCCGTTTCGGGTTGGGGAGTGTGGCGATTGCGAGCGATCGAATGGAACTGGCGCGTGAGTGAGCGGCGAGGTCGAACTGCGCGTGCGGCTCCAGCACCACCCGGGTCATGCTGTTTTCAACCTTCGCCATTCTGTGATGCCTCAACGTTTTTCGCCTTTAAAGTTTCAATAGCCAGCGCGTGAGGTTGTTATGGATCAAATTCAAAGCCACAAAATGCTTACGACAAAACTTCCTTTGCACCTGCACTTGCACTCTGCTCCACTGTACTTCTGGGAGAAGGTGAAGAATAGAGTGCAGAAACCCATAGGCCATAGCCGAACCATTTTTCTTCTTTTTTTATTGTCTCTCCAGGATTTTTTTTAATTCTTTTTTCTAAGAAATCATTTTTTATTTTAAATGATATATTTTATTACAATTTATATTATTATTCAATCTTTTAAAAAAATTTATTTAATAATTAATATTTTATATCAAATTTTAATAATAATTTGATGAATTAAAATTTTTATCATATAAATTAATTTTTTAAATTTAGAAAAAGTTATAAAGATTATATATTTTTCATTATATAAGTTTAATTCAAAATATAAAATATTTTAATGATTATCGTCAAACTGAATTAATAAAATTAAATATTAAATGAACTAAAAAATTTAATTTAATAATTAAATTATTAAAATTTGATGTAAAATATTAGTTATTGAGTATTCTTACTTGAAGTAAGTAAATCTTTTTCCTAAACTTTTTACTTCTTATTTATATTTGTTTCATTTTACTCTAAAAGTAAAAAGTAATTGGTCACAAAAATAACTACTTTAATCCATGTTTAAGGAGGGTCAAGAGTTCAAATCTTACCTTGTGTATGTAGTCACGTTAAATCTTGGGGCCAGTTATCTCACCCTTTGAGGTGTCTCCAATATAGCGAGGAGATTAGTCACTGCTATCGACAATGGATACTCCAAGAACGAACCAAAAAAAATAACTACTTTAATACATAAGAAAAGAAAATAAAAGAATATATTAGTCACTTATTTATTTTATTCTTTAGTAAAACATAATAAAATATGATATAAAAAAATTATAAATACAACTATAAATCTAAGACAAATGATACTTTAAGGGGATATTTGATAGAATAAAAAAAATTATGTATGAAAATCATAATTCTTGAAAATCATAAATCATGGTAATCATGATTACTAACAATGATTAAATTTGTTTCATCAATCACAAATATTTTTTGAAAATGTTTATAAAAGTTACTTGGAAATCAAATTTTTATTACATTAACTAAACAAATTAAGGTAATAGTTTTATCACAACAAAACATTCTTTTTAACTTATAAATGTTAGATTCTCACCAAACTCCATGCGAACAATTTGGTGAGAAACATGTATAAAAAATATTTTGGAGAAACTATGTTTTTGAGGAATGTTATTTTTTATATGATAAATTAAACATTTAATGTATCAAACGTTCACTAAGTTCAAGTCATAAAATAAGTATAATATCCTCTAACTCCGATATTACACTAATCAACGTAAGGCCCATGACCCAAACCAAAATCTCAAACTTCCTCTTCCTCATACACAACCTCATTTACTTTATCAGTTCATGTATGGAATCTAATCGAAACAAGAAAAACAACCACAAAAATAACAAAAAGGATAATAAAACTCACACATGTATAACACACGTAAAAGGTAATCATGGCATCTTAAAACATACACTACATCATTCCAACCAACTCAAACATCAATAAATAATATTCAATATTACATTCAATACATTAATCACATAATCAACCATATTCAATATTCAACAACTCGTGCAACTCATGTTCCTAATTCTATATGTATGTGGTATCAATCTCTAATATTGACGGAGGCACCCCAAATAGAAGATAGCCTAGGAGTACATCAACCGAATTGTTACACAATGGGTGACCCTCTCAATCTACTCTCAACTAGGGAAAGATCTATCAAGAGTCGATCAAGGCATTATAGTCAATCATACTCACCTCCTATACACGTTAGAGATTTCGTACCATAACACCCTTAGGCCCAAGGTAAAAGACTATAGAGATTTTCCTACATAGATTCACACTACCTCCAAGAAAACTATCCAAGAATGCATGGGTTCTCAAACAACTTCATCAAACATAATAGTTAATGCAATGCATAACACCAACATCCTCATGTTGCCAAACCTTTATGTTTTCCAAAATACCAAGCCTTTGCTTCAATTGCTTCATCTCATCACCAACATCTCAGATTCACCAAACGTCTCAATTAAAGTCTTTTACCTTGCTAACATCTCATGATTTTTCTTTATTCATGTTAATTCTTGTATTCAATAACTAATCTCAACTTTCTCTCTTATCTTTATTTTCTCTTTAATCAATCAATTATGGAATTCTTCCATATTCTTTCATCTTTTCTCAATTACATTAATGTCTTATTTTCCTTTATTATAACTTTTCCTTTCTCACTCCTTTAATCCCTAATTATAACTTCCCCTCGTAGGTTCTTCAACTAATTGTTTTATCCCTCTAACCATCTCTTTATTACTCAATGATACTACACTCAATGAGACACCTCGCGTCCAATGTAGATCCCTCTATTGCATTCACACTCAAGATGGATATTCACACACCCAACACCAAGGGAACAAGAACCCCTATAATACTCTAGCACTTGACGTGACTCTGGCCACACCTAGTGTTATGAACTCGAAAAACAATGTCAAATGACATTTGGTGAGAAACTCCTCACCCAGTGTCGAGGGTTTTGAAACCTTTTTATGGATCTCGCACTCGATTTTGCCTTCTCTACACCTAGTGTGGAAAATTGCACTCACCACACCCTTACATGTTAAGTGCGCCTTCCACATCACCATAGATTCTGTACTTTGTACATCACAACTCAAGGTAAGTCTAGGTTAATGGGCCAACCCAACTAGCCTATAAATAAAGTTGGATTAGGCTTTAATAAGGATAACCTAAATAAAAATAAACCATTTTGCCTCGACCTACATAACCCGATTAGTCAAATGGGTTTAGGCCAGGCTGGCCAACAGGCTTTAGGATAGCTGATATAAAAATTAAAAAAAGTAAATTAATAATTTAATACTAATAATAATTGTTAAAAAAACATAAATAAAATATAATACATTGAAAAATATGTTTGGAGTTGTAGTAATATTGTTTACTTCTATCATCTCTGGAAAAAAAATTATAGAAGAAAAAGAAGTAAAATAAGTTAAACTACACTCTTAATTTCACTAATGTAATATAAAACTCGCTTTCTCTCCCTTCCTCTATCTCTCTCTTTATATATATATATATATATTATTTATCTTATTTGTTATAATTTATTTACCTTTATTTTTTATCAACAAAATAATTGTTTAACCCCTCAAATTTGAAACATTCATATTTTAACTGCAATGAATAAATAATAATAATAATTAATGTTAACTAGTTTAAAAAATTTAAAATTTTAACTTTTTGATATAAAATCATTTTTAATATTTATTTATTTATATTCAATTAAGGTGAATTTTGTCTTATGGTCCAACATGGGTCAAATTAAGCTAAAAATTAAAATCTTGAAGGTAATATAAATCAACCCAACTTAGCCTAAAATCATCATGTCAAGTTAGGTTACACTAACCCAATATATGTGCCAGCTCTAAAATCGTTCGCATAATTGGCCTAACCATTTTCCTTTCGCTTAAAAAAAAAACAAGTTCAAATCAGAGACTCTTCTCTAACCCACCTCTTATCTCTATTTAGTTTATTTATTAAAAATATATTTTTTATATTATAAGTTCAATTAATTATATTAATTAAGTTTATATTATCACTATTATTTAAACATTTTATTTTATATTTGTTTTTAAGAAAATAGGGTATTATGTCTTTTCCAATCCCAATAACGAATAACGATTGGAGTAATAGAATTGAAAAGTTTTTAACTAAGAATAACCTATGAATTTTGAGTGGTAAAGAAACATTGTGAGAAAACAATGTGTGGCTGCCTATTATATTTACATTCTAATTCTACTTTTTTTTTTAATATTTCTTTTTCACAAAAGTACAAAGTATCTTCTTATTATTATTATTATTATTATTATTATTATTATTATTATTATTACTATTATTATTATTATTAATATATTGTTACAGCTTATCATTCTAAAAAAAAATAGGTGTCCCAAGTATTTTCAATGTTTTTATTTTGTATTAAAAAAAAAGTTAGAGTCAATATATTTAATTTTTGAAGTACTTTTAGTGGTATATGTACTATTTATAAAAAGAGATATTTTTTTTAATATACACAACTCTTGGACTAATTTACTTTTATAAATACTTCAAAATTATTTTCTCTTTCATTATATTTTATTTATATATTTATGCTTTCTCTCTCTTCTTCTTTTTTCTTTTTAATCAACAACATTCAATTTTTAAGTTTCTCACCCTTTAAGTAATCACTAATTATCTTTTCATTTTTAAATAACAAGACACAAAGTGTCCTTTTTCCTCCTACTATATATAATATTAATTATAATTAAGTCAAGTTAATAAAGGAGTGATAGTTAACCAAGCACATATTATACTATTTTTAAAAAGAAAAAATGGTCAAATTTTTTATATATAAAATAAATGATTAAATGACTATTTAATTATTTATATAAAATAAATACTTTTTAAAGTTTGAAAATGAAAAAATCATTCAATATTTTCAAAATATAAAATTTTATAAAGAGCAATTGTAATGTATATTTATTTAAAAAAAAATAGAGTAAAGTTATATATTTAATATTACAAGCTTGTGTTGTGTATAAGTATCACCCCTACCACTTTTAAATTTTTGAATCCATCATTGTTATGAATTCAAGTCAATGGGATAGATAATACCTAACAACCCTTGAAAGACCAAGTAAAAATATAAGATAAGATTCAATCTAAAAAAACATGTAAAAATAATTAAGTTTAAGTAAAATATCTATTTAATAAAAACAAAATTAATTTAAAATGATATTCTAAATCTTGATTAAATAAATTTATTAATATTTTTAAAATATCACTCAAAATATATAACAATTTCTCACATATTTCAAAAAGGTTAAAGAAAGATTTTAATTAAAAGAAAAAAACAATATAGATTCTTATTCTTTTGAATGTAATACATCAATCTTAGTATAACAAATTATATGAATTAGACTTGAATCGATAAAACTTAACACAATATAATTAGTATAGTAAATAATATGAACCAAAGACACTTAATGTATGTTAGATGTCTACCAATCACATTATACTCCCACAATCCTTATTGTACATTAACAAGCCTTGCACGTACCCGATATTCATAAATATTTTAGGAATCTCGCTATGATCTCATACAAACAGTCCTACTTGCCACTCATACGCGGTTTTTCATCTAGTATATATTTTGCAAGTTCAAACCCCAGTGTTATTATTGTAATTCCGATGAATCAAAAAATAAATCTCATACAAATACCCAAATATCACTCCACGATCTTATATGCACTCCATTAGCCTTCAAAATTCAAGCAAGCAACAGGAAAGAAACAAGAAAGTAAAACTTTACATCAGGTTAAGGAATGAGAAAATATCATGTTGTGAATATATCCGGTCTTAATTTGTATGTTACAGTTAAGCAATGAGAATGAAGTATCCATATAGAATTTGCTCGGTAATTACATTATATTTGACATTAACGAGAAAGTATTAGAATGATAAACAGAACTGTACAGAATACTAATTAAAAAGTGTTATATGCATTGTCAAGATTCAATATGATACTTCAGTTCAAAGACAGTGCCCGCGCTGGAAGGGAGAAGACAGAGCCAAAAATGGTGTAGTTAAGATGTTAGGCTGCAGAGGCTGAAAAGAAAATCCCGCTGACTGTGGAACAATTGGGGGATGTTGAACTGAACTGTAAAGAGGACAATCCAGTTAATCTATATTAGAAATATGATTAATCTTATATATGAACAATTCAAAATCTTGATCATACAGATTTTAGGAAAACAGGAGTGAAAGATTGCAATTCAATAAGTAAAAAACTATTGAATCTAGGGGATTCGATTTATATTTGAAAAAAAAATTGAGACACATAACATAGTTGGTAATTAAATAGATAACCAACACCAATTTTTATTTTAGTTGCTTCAGTATATTCTAATATTTATTTATAATATTAAATAGTGAAATATATGGATTCAAATTAAGACTAAAAAGTCAGCTAACATGGTTATTAAAGTAATTACTAAATAATAAATAGGCAAATATGAGTAGTCTACTTCCAAGAAGAAAAAACTCTAATTCTTAGCTATAAATTAATTAACAATTTCTTTTTATTTCATTTTGAGAAAATAATAAAAATATTTTTCGGGCTATTTTTTAATCAACTTTTAATTGCCTAAAGCAAGTGCTAGAGGCCGGGCATGGGAAGGAAAAGCTTTTCACTCTCTTCCTCTCCTATTCGTAAATATGTAAATGGGGAAAAACATCTGCATGACAAAAAGGTTATTTCACTCTTCCTCTCCTATTCGTAAATATGAAAGTAACTAATATCAGTCATTAATGAGAATAATGGTCAATATTCCAATACATTCATGATTTGTTAGGCATTTACGGGTAATATCAACCATTGAATTTTTCATCAATGATGAAGATTACTTTGTCCTTCAACAATTAAGATTACTTATATCACTCAATTGGTAGTGTTTTCTTGTGGGCCAGAGATTTATCCAATCCAGATGTATAGGGTGAGAATAGGCAAGAAGCATATACTTACCTGAATGACAATGACAACGAAGTCTCTGCAGAGTTATGAACTCCATTTTGATCGGGAGATAATAATGTCCAAAATACTACATCACAAAATAAACTCAACTCGTCATCATCAAGCAAGAAGAAAGAAAATTAAAAGAAAGTGTCCTTCTCATATTAATTACGGTCAGCAAACAATTCCACTAAGTCAGAATTTTTTCACTCGACTCAAAATTGAGCAATTGCAAGCCAGATGCCTGAAAATTAAAATCTAATCAAGTAACCAACACTGTTCTTTCCTAGAAGCAAATTTTCCCTTAGCAGTAGTTTAAGTTTAAGCAAATCCTTATTAACTCCCCTTGACCACATGGTTCCCACCAAGCACAGTAGGTGCTTTCGTCAGTATTCAAACCAAGCTCAAAAAGAACATTCAATAGGAATTGGGAACCAAACTTTTTGACTTGTGTTGAGGAAGCTTCTATACCAGCATATAGCATCTGATCATTCAATATGTATAATATTGAATTGAAGATGTCTTTATTTTTTTAAAATAAACTGATTTTAACATTATTGTAATCTAAGTCAATCCTAATTTGAATTTAATTTTAAATTTTGAATTTTAACTCACCATATCAATATAGATTGTGTCTTGATTTTAATAATTTTTCCATAGTTTCCTTAATTATAAAATCATATCTCTTTAATTTTCACTATTAAATATAATAAATTATTCACTATTAATAATAAAGACATACTCTATTCTCTTTAATTTATTTTTATTTAAAAATACCCATGCAATGCACAGAAAACTTGCTTCTGTAAGTAGAAAGATTTCTTCTCGGTATTGGAAATTTATTCTTTCTCCTAGAACACAGTTCATTAATTAGAACACAGCCAGAGATAGCAGAATGAAGCTTTCATAAAAAATAAATCAAGACTAATATAATCTTTCTAAAGTTAAAAGCTATATCCTCTCTGTAAATATAACAAAGCTTATGACAGATTATAATGCAAATAGAAGGTAGGAAACTAATAATCACCTGACTGCTCTGAATGATCATTAAAATCTGAGCAAAGTAGCATGTTCTACATTTTCACATGGTGCATTAAGTCAAAATAGAGATAAACAACAATTGTATCAGGATTTCAAAACATAAAACTAGAATATGGGCCTGTTTGGATAAACTTCTCTATAAGCACTTCTAGGAGGAAGAAATAAGAAAAAAAATTGAAATAAGTTTCTCTATAAGCTAAAAGTAACTTATGTGTAAGTAAAAAATAAGATTTTGGAGAATCTAATTGGAGAGAACTTCTACAAATCAAATTATAATTGAGCATATTTTAGCTAATGGAGAAACTTGTTTCATTTTTCCTTCTCATTTTTCACTCCTAGAAGTTCCTTTAAAGAAGTTTACCCAAACAGACTCTATATCATGTTGCAAGATTTACAGCACTAGACACAAACCTCTCTAACACCCTGAGACACACTTTGGACCACATCTGCAGGATATGAAAATAATTAAATGTTCAGCACTTTATACCATTAATAAAATGAAGAAAATGAGAGAAGTTTTCAAATGTGAAAGAAGGCCAAGGTGTTACAAAATTTACCCAGAGGAATAATAATTTGAAAGGCTTAAACATTTCAATGAACTATCAATCATTCAGAAAACAGAACATATATTCAACATATCAAACAACCCCCGTCTTTCTCATCATACTCTTAAGCAATTCAATTGCTCTCTAAAAGAAAGAAAACATTAACCTTTTCATTTTTTAGCATTAGAATATCTAGAGGAAGACAAAATTATATCTTAGAATAGTTTAGAGTATCTTAAATGATCTCTTAGAAATAGTTTTCGTGTTTATATTTCAATATTTGTTTTCTTATTTAAGATCAGGAGTCATCCATTAGCATTTTGTCTTTTAAATCACATCAATATACACAATATCATATCAAAGTCCTTATTTCCTTTTTCCTCCTTTTCAACCTCAATGGCTCAATCCCCATTATTTCAACATATAGCATAAACATTACAGGTTCAAAGAAAAGGATAAATAAATCATTTGCCAAGAGAGTTTTGTTTTCAGCTGCATTCCAATGGACAAAAACTGCTGTGCTGATGATATCATATAACCACAGTAAAGTTAACCAATTTCTCATGCTGATAACACTTAGTTCTACATTCATCTGTGCTGAGTTGAGCATTTGGCATTACCAGAAAGACACAACCTGAACCTAACTTTTAAGATAGCACATTTGTAGAGGATCAAGAAGCCAGCACAAATCTTAAGAAGAAACCAGATTGCAATAGAAGAATGGGATTGTTTCCATCTTACATATAAAAACATTACAAAATATTCACTTCTACCAAAAATGGGTGTTTAAAGAACAACCATTATGCAGTTACACAAACTAATATATTACTTTCAATGGTTAAATTAATAGTTAAGGTTATGTACCTAAGCTTGAAATACTGGGCTTTACAGCTAAAGTCAAGCCAAGAAAACAATCATCGGTATCAGGGCCAAAATCCTGCAGTTTCAGCTCAAGATTTGGCTTTGCCCCTGTAAGTAGGATGCAATTAGGATGAAGCTATCTGACAAACTGAAATGTATAATATGTCGATATAAGAAAGGAAGAAAATGAAAATTCCCTACTCTTGCTACTCAGCTTCAGCTCAAGTGGATCACTGAGTGGACAAGGAACCCATGCATCCACCTGTCCAGTATATGTTAGTAAATTGAAGACATTAAATGAAGAAGAACAGGCTTCAAAGAGAAAGTTACATGGAAAAATGGATGTTGCAATGACTGATCAGCATCTGGCCTTCTTGATGGGTCCCAATGTAACAGTTGCTGCAGATTTTATAATGCAGTAGATATTAGAAGATAGCACCATTTACAATCTCAGTGCATGTGTAGAAAGAGAGAGAGAGAGAGAGAGATTCAATTGAATAAAGCATACTGTGATCAAGTCTATAGCTTCCAAACTAGCATTTGGAATAATATTAGAAAGCTTCACAGGTGAAACCTGCAAAAGCATCATGGAATTAAACAAGAGATTAAATGAAAAGATGACAACAATAAGAATAGTACAACCAAAACTCCTTTTACATTAACACTTTCAACATCACGAGCAACTAGGTCCAATAGCTGAGAATTGTCTGCCCCTATGGTGAAAGCAGTTGAGTCTGGCATACCAAGAATGCGGTATATTTTGTACAGTTGATCTATTTCACTGTCAATGGAGAAAAGGAATTTTATAAGATGTGATAGAAAGAAAATAGTTCATTTTTAGGAATAAACATATCCCATTCAAGTCAATATCAACTACAATTTACAATGTACAAAAGCTCAATATACATGTCATATGAAAAAGGAAAAGATCCCAATGTTTGATTTAACTATTAATAGCAATCTCTTGAGAATCAATGTCTCATAAGCTAAAACAAATCTAAACGAATAAGTGTATTTAAGAGAGGCATGAACACTTTGCTTTTTACATAGAAAAGAAAAACATAGAGAGCAAAGAAATGAACAAAAAAATAAATACATCAGTACATAAATGCTTTCCAAATCCTTGAACAAAATTTCTGTCCATATGAAATATGAATTTGAAACTTAGATATATAATGAAGCCAAAACAATCATGCATGTAATAATATTAGTTGTCAAAATCTAAATAATTAACTATTTCATCATTAGGCTCCAACCAAAATTTTCAAATTACTGAGTGAAAACAAGGCAATGCTCCTTATTCTTGTTAGTTTGAATCTCTACACCATTCTATCAAGACTCAAGAACAAGATGACCTTTCTCTATTATACAATCACAACTCTTATCTTCAGTGGCAAAATTCTTTATGCAATCAATTGTCAAATGCAAACAGCATAGCAAATAGTTATTTTGCTGATGGAAAAATTGTTCATTAGATATATGAAGGCACAAAAAAATACATTCAACATAAACAAAAGTAAATATATAACTAACATAAGCTTGATTAGTTGTGATCATCACATTAGCCTTTTCACAATTAAAGAGCAAAAAAATAAATACAGGACTGAAATATACCTTTCACCAGGAAATAATGGGGTCAAAGTAAAAAGCTCAGCTAATATAGCACCAACTGCCCACATATCTGCAAATAATTTCTACTTGTTATTCACCACCCTAAGAAGAATACAATGACAATATCATCTCAGAGGTACAGCATAAAATGCGCACATCCATGTAATTTCTCTTTCTCATTAATTCTTATTGTTCAAGTTCTGTGTTGAATCAGTATTGATGTAAATATGTTTATCATGATGTTCAGACTTCAGAGGATAAAGGCAGAACAACTTCAGACAAGACTGAATGGAAAGAAATGCTGAAATAGTTGACTCCAAATATTTATGATAGCTTATCTCCCAAAATATGCTAGTGCAAGAACCATCTCCGTGCCCTCATTAGACATCACATATAAATTTAACTGGAGAAAAAATGTCAAGTGAGCATTAGCTCAAACTTCTTTTTGACCTTAAAATAAAGCAGTAAACATTATAATTCATCTTTGACATTACTCTAGAAAGTGTAGGCATAACTAATCATCTCAGCTAATGGTGTCTGGGTTTGATATTAGGATACCCCAAAAGTGGTTCTGCCTGCAAACACTAGATTGAGGCAGAAACTACAAATTTTAACTTAAATCATTCATGATGGCACCCAAAAACAAACACCAGCTCACTATCTATACAAGAAACAAAATATAGCTACAATAAGTAAATGACACAAACAAAAAAATTTAATTTAAAAAGAGAGTAATGCCTACCAACAGCAGGAGTGTAACAAGGGGATCGCAACAAAACTTCTGGAGCTCGATACCTGAATTCCCAAAACACAAAATGCAATAAAATGACAATGATAAAAGCCCTTTTGATAAAATCCAAAGTAGTCCATAGAGAAATTTATGTACATGAGAAAATAGAAAAGACCGACTGAGAAATATGACATGAAAGAATGACTCACCACCGTGTGGAAACATATTGAGTATATGGAGGCATCGATGATACTTCTCTAGCCAGTCCAAAATCAGCAATTTTCAGAACATCATTCGTTACCAGCAAATTTTCTGTATAGTAGAAAACATTCCATTAGATCAAGATACATATGACCTTTAATAAATATTGAATTGGAAAGTATAAATGCAACAATATACCATCAGAAATTTGCCTAATGAAATTATACGCCTTACCAGGTTTTAAATCCCGATGAAAGAATCCTCTCTTGTGCATGTGACTAAGTCCTTGTAGTACTTGCCTCATAAAGCACCGTATCTCTTCTTCTGAAAAGGGCCTTTCTCTCTCCTTTATTAATTGATATAGATTACAATCCTGAATAATAGATAAAATGTAGTGTTACTGTCAGTGACAGTGTCAAGCAATACCTGATAAAGCAAGTGTCAATACAGAACATCCAGCCTCAATTATAGATATTGGAGAGTTTTGGATAAATTAAATAGTAGTAAATAATTATTCCAGTAAATATGTATGTAGCACTGATAACCATGAAACATTACCACATTTTCTGGGCAACATTAAGCTATCAGGCACAGCCAAGATATCAGTGTGTTGTTTAGATACTTTCTGTACCATTTTTGTTTTGTCTTGAATTCTTGGACAATATCATTTCCTATTAATTGTTTTCCTATTGTTCTTTCTATCAGCAATTTTTTTTCTTTTACAGGATATGGCAACACCGTATTACTCTTCAATTAATCTTTATAAGATTTAAAAGCTATTCAAGATAAGGCAACACCATATTACTCTTCAATTAATCTTTATAAGATTTAAAAGCTATTCAACAATCAACATATTTATACTATAAAACATAAATGAACAAAGAAAAATGGGAAGAATAAGATGTTCTTTACCATGTATTCAAAAATGAAAAATAGTTCATTATTTTCTCTAACAACCTCTTTCAACTTTATGATATTTGGGTGATTCATTTTACGGAGGGCCTGCCAAAGCAACAAAATACACATTTGTGAAGGCAAACTAACATTTAAACAAAATCTTATTACAGTTCCAGGAATGTGTGAAAACCACCTATAACTACCAATAACAAACAAATACTGGAGTACATACCTTAACTTCTCTTAAATTGGTATATTCTTCCCAGAAACAAAACTTTCTTTTCAACCTTTTGACAGCGACCTGATAGATAAAATCAGGAGCATAACATCATAAGATACCCAAAATGTAACATCAGAAAGTGCGACCTGAACCTCAATGTATAAAAGCACCATCTAAATTAGTATGGTAACAGCACCTGACGAGGGAGCATCACAGAAAATGAAAGAAACATTTATAATTGAAGCAAAAACATGTATCCATTTTGATCTTCAATGCAAATGTATACATGAAGGCTTAACATAGTGATAGTTATCACATTCTCTCGCAGAATACCTTGGACACATCTCACTTTAAACATCTTAAACATTTACTAAAAACTTGGTTATGATAATTCATAGAAGGTCCCCTTGTATCACACTATTGACATCAGACTCTCTTAAAATCATACAGGCTACTATTACATACAATTAGATAGTATGTAATTATTGAGTGTTAATTATCTTTATGACATGCATATATATGAAAGAATATATGCATAGTTACCAGTACTATGGCACTTGAAAATAAACATTTTCTAAAGTAACTCACCAAAATCCTTTGATACATCCAGAACGAGGGATAGAAATTATTCAATGTAAAAAAGTCGAAATTCCCTGCACATATATTGCACATTTTCAAAAGGTCCTCCCTCATTTCCTCTAACCACAGCTTCTAAACTTATTCAACAATTAATCCTCCATTCCTCCATGTTTTCAGGGGGCATATTCCCAAATAATCCAACATGCCAAACAGTTTCCATTGACCTTCCATCCATACCGAAACCAAGTGTGCAAACAGGAAATAAGGCAGAGGCAAATAAACATAGAAATTAACATGGTTCAATCAACTGCAAACTATACAGAGGGAAAAATACTATGAACAATGAAAATTACTAAATGTGGCCACTTGATGCTCAAATCCTCAATCCACTGAAAATCAGTAGTTAGAGAGAGGATTGAGTTTGTTTGTTAATAACCTACTCTACAAAAGCTATTAGGTGCAAACACTAGAATAATTTTATATGTCAAACAAGCACCACCGAGCAAAAGTAATTTGAGCTTAAAGCAGGAATAAAGCTCTCAAACCCAAGGTAAACAGAAACAAAGAAGGGGAACTCCTAAAAGCCATTTACTATAGGATGAATATAACAATAATAGATGATGGATACACAAAAATAATTAAAGAACATGAATAGATGAATATACTGATGTTGAAAAAAATTGCTTTTAGGTAGCAAGAGTTGCTTACAATCTCGTATGTTCTCATATCACGGGCTTTATATACATGACCGCAGGAACCATCCCCGAGCTCTCTCAAAATTTTATATCTAAAAAGAAAAGGACAGACATGAAATAATTTAATTTACTCAGAATTGAAAGTCCAGAAACAATGTACAAGACAATGGATGAGAAGAAACTAACCTTTCCATTATTAGAATTACAACACTATAACCAATAACACTTCAGAGAGACTGGAACAGATTCCATGAAGAGATGGCTAACTGTCAACACAGTGTTGGCACTTAGTTTGCAGACGTGGGTTAGAGTTAAAATGTAGCATGAAGCATTTAGTATCATCAATAATCCACTTTTCATTGTAGAAGAGATCTACAAAAAGGGAGAGGTCCGTCAACATGTTGCAACCTTCAGAAAACCCAGTTGGCTGGGTGATGTCTTAATCATATGACAAGTAAATCCATTTTGATTTTGACTATATTGACTTCAAACTGAGCCCATATATTGGAGAACAAGTGATAAGCTGCGATACATAATATAAATGTTAGTGCTTTTGAAAATTATAATAATTAGATAGTCCCTTCAACATCAAGCGAATAATATGTGCACTTGAAAAGTGCAATAATAGGATAATGCAACATTATATTGTTTCACTGTGCAAACTCAATAATGAAAATATTACTTAATAGACAGACAATTGGAAGGTTTATCTTTCAATCCTCTACTGGGGAACCCTAAGCAGTAAGCCCTAAAAACTTTGAGGAATTCTCTCCTCCAATCTACCCAGCAGTCAAATATAACGCAGATCAAAACACAAACCTTACCAAGAAGACTCTGATCCTAACAACACGATGACTAGCCATGTGTTGTTTGCATAAGAATCTTAACGTATCACATACCCTCTACTATTGTACAATATTATAATCAAGAATTCAACTCATACCACTCTATTTAATCTCACCACGAAAACCAAAATCTATTGGTTGACAGTCAAGAGCCACAATAAACAAGTGAATCAGACTAAAAAAATCAGTTTCAGAAAACAAAGAAATTAAACCCGGAAAAAAAAAACTATAAACTTTATGTGTTTGGCTTAGCTTAAAGTATGGAAACAACTGCTTTTTTTTTTCTTTTCCAAAAGTTATATAATGAAGTCAAAGAAAAAGAAAATATTTCCCCGTAAAAGCAATTTCCAACTAGAACTATAAACAAAAACACAAAACATACAGGTAGGTATGAAAAAAAAAAAAAAAAAAAAAAGACGAAGAAGAAGTTATATTTACAATCTATCTGTAAAAAAATCTTTGCCTTAAAATTATAACAATATTGTATCAAGAAAACGCACGCTCAACACAATCTGTTCAGAAACATTTCTAAAAACACAATCTCGGATATTTTTCATTGCCATAAATCCATAAACTATTGTTTCATCTTGATTTCCCATTCCTCATTCTCTTATAAAACAAACCGATCGCAAAAGAAAAACAAAACGCAATTCTAGCTGCATTTCAGTTTGTTTAGCAGCTACGAACCAGAGGCAACGAAAACAGCACGAAGAATCGGAAACTGATGTTACCACACGAAGAAAAATTCGAGAAAAAAATAATAAAAAGACGAAGAACTCACCTTGTGTGATAATTGGATAGAATCAGAGCGGAATCAACAGATAAACAACCACAGATCGGCAATGCGAATGAACTTTCTTGGAAAAGAAACGAGAAAAATGAATTTGTAAGAAGAAAGAGAGAGAGAGAGAGAGAGAGAGGAGAGAGAAAAGTTTAGAGAGAGAAAATTCGGACTTGTGAAGAAGCCATATGAGAGAGAGGGAGAGTATTCCATAGAAGAAAAAAGGAGAAGAAATCAAAGAAATAAATATATTAAATATTTTATTGAAAAATATTTTCTTTTTGTTTGTTCACTTAAGTTTCAATAGTTTTTTTTTTAAAATTTGTTATTTTCAATAAAGTTTTTTATTCTAATTTTATCTAATATTTAATAGGATTGGTTAATTGCTGTAAAAAATAGAATTAATCTGACAAACTAGAGTTGATATGTAGATAAATAAATATATTATATTAATTAAAATACAAAATATATTTATAATTTATAATCTATATAACTATTATAAAGATGTAACTATTATAAGGTAACAGATTCTTTTTATGTATACAATTTTATGTATAAATTTATTTTTTAATTATTTTGTAAATTATTTATGTAACTGTTTTATAAATTACTATTTTTTTTGTAGATTCAACATTACTCACTGGTCGCAAGTTTCAATTAACTATGCCGTTTTATTTTTTAATTTTTATTTTTCTATAATTATTACAAAGGCTATAGGACTTTTTGAAATACAATTGCATATACAGATTTATCTCGTAACTATTTCATAAATTATTCTTTGTTAACCATCGATAGATATATGTCATAGGAAACTACGATTATGGAATGTTTCTCGTAAAATATTTGGGTATATATACTTTTACATATATATAATATCTATTACTTTGTCAATAAAAATAATAATTTTTTTTATAAATTTAACACTATAAATTATGCACTTTCTAAGTTTCAATAAATTATCAACTTTTATTTTTTAATTTTTATTATTAAAATATATAATAAAAAAAAACATGAAATATCTTTTTTCTTAATAAATTATAAGAAGAAGGATTAAATTATTCCAAGAATAGATTAAGTTATTTCATTCAATAATTAATTTTTTTTAATACGTATATTAAGTTTAGAAATTTTTAAATTTTTTTAAAATTATTTAATATTTCGTTTCAATAATTCATATTAACAAATAATCATAAAAATATTTTATATATTAATTTAAATTTATATAACAAAGAATTATATCTTTTAATTTTTTTTAAAATTTGTAAACTTAATTTATATATATATAAAAAATTAATCTAATAATTAAATCTTTAAACATATATCATAAGTAAGTAAAGTAATTTTACCAAAAACTACGTGATTATATTGATTTAATTAATTATCTTTATTAAATTTAATTCAACAGTTTGAACATGTGAATTATTGTAAATTTTTGTATTAAATTTGATTTTAATAGAAGAAATATTATTTATTATCTATAAAAGTTATAACACATATATATAGAGATAATAGTTATTGATAAACTATTATCCTAAAAAAAAAGTTATTTTAATTAGTTTTTTCATATATTTTAATCTTCTTGGTTTCATAAGGAGGAGTATAATTCATTTTTATCATATAAGTTTTTGTGGGAATTAACGTGTGTTTGATATAATAAAAATATCAAAGAAATAAAGAGGAAATGTGTGAAATAAGTAAGAAATAAAAACTAAAGATTGTTTGAATGGTGCAAAATTTGTCACCAAAGAAATAAAAAAATATACACCTTTTTTTTTCTCACAAATCAGTACAAAAATAAACAATACAAACTTAAAAAAGTATCCGTATTCAAATAAATGATACTCAAATCAAATAACATATTACTCAAGTCGTTACTAATGCAATTTTTTTATTTATTCAAATAAAGTAAATTTTATTCGATTATACTTTTTAAAACATTCAAATACAAATCGATTTTGAAACTTTCGTTCGAAAAAAGTTATTTCATTCGAATAGAAATTGTTTCATTTGAATATTTATATAATTTTTTCATTTAAATAATTAAAATAAAATAACTAATAAAAAATAGTTTTAATTTTTTACATGTTTCTTTTTATCTTACTAAACATATATAATATTATTTATCATTTATTTCTCACTTATTTCTCTTTAATCAAATAACTAAATTTTCATTATATTATTTTTTTATCTATTTTCACTCACTTGTTTTCCTTCACTAAATTTCTCACCTATTTTTCTTCTCTCCACCGAACACACCCTAAATAATAGCTAAAGTTGCAATTCCATACTTAGGAGTACAATTGTCAAACCACTTAACCAATTCTTTTTAGTATTTTAATTAATATTGTGGAGTTTAAATAATGTATATGTATGCTATAAAAAAAATAATGTATATATAATTATGTTAAATATTATGGAAAAAAAATTATTGCTTATAATAATTATTTTTTACTCAAGCAAATTTTTATCCTAAAATATATACATGCCATCTCATACAAAACAACAAATTATTGTTTTTATAATATTAATATCAATTAAAAATAAAGAGATTTTTTTATTTTAAGAAAATTATTAACTTAAATATTAAATAAAATTACAATTTGATTGTAAATAATATAGATATTAACAACCGTGTAAATCAATCGATTGTTTGGGCTTAATAGTAAGTTTAAGTCTTGATATATAGATGTATTAGATATTAAAAAAACATTTATCATTTATATTAGTTTTACTCGACTTAATGAAAAATATACAAAGTATAGACAAAATTTTAAAAATAAAAAAACATAATAGACTTAATTAATGTAATTGAAAATTAAGGACCCAAAATTATATTATCAGAATAAAAATACAATTAAACTTAAAATACAGTAATACATTAAAGAGTGGTTAAATATCGGAGGAGAGAAATATTCTAAGCATTTATTGAATTATTTTATTCCTTTTTAAGATTTAAAATATAGATTGCTTGGCTGTTAGTGGGGTGGGGGATGTGGTCCCCGCATTGATATGAAATTTTTTGTAGGATTACGGTTTTGCCATCCAACGACTTCAATAATAACAGGAATATGCATGCTACCATTTTTGCCCTCAACTTAACATCTTGAAAGACGGTTATGACCTCAATATCTGATTGAAAGACCATTTTACCCCTTCTAATGCTGTTGGATAGATAAGGATAAGGGACTGAAAGGTCATTAAAAATAAGTTTCAGGGTTTTAAGTCATTTCATACCCTTTATTCCCGAGAATATGCTGTTTCATATCCGTGGGCTGGATTTGGCCGAAGAATAGTTCTAGATTGTTGATAAATCTTTACATAAATTATCTTATTTATTAAATGACAAAAAAAAATTAAAGTATTTATAATTTAATGCATGGAATATATTTACTTTTATTTAATATATATTCTAGAATATTGATTTATTAACTATGTAAAAAGGATATTAATTTATTTTATAGAAGATTAATAAAATAGAAAAGTATAACATTTATCGTACATGAACCAATGATTTGAACGCTTGCATAACTATTTTTAAAACCTAGTTCTTTAAAAATTTGTTTGAATATCTTTTGTTTAATTGAAAAGTATAACATTTATTTTAGGAACAATATCTACTAAATAAAATGTCAAAAATATCAAATACATAATATATATATATATATATATATATGTATATATATATTATATTGATTTTTCTCAATCATCAAAATTATATCTAATTTTTTATCTATTTAATCAAGTTTTACTATTTTTCACAAAAATATAAGTATTATTTTTCAAGTCACTTCTAGCTCAACTTAAGTATTCTTTGATTTGTCCCTTTGAGTAAACTATTCAAGTATTTTATGAACAACAAGTCCTCTCAAGACTTCAACAACAAGTAGTATTTAAACAATAAAGCCTTTTTAGGCTTCAAGAAAAAAAAAATATTTAAGTTGGGTAAACTAACAAAATAATCCTATTAGGCAATAAGTGATAAAATAAAACCTTTAAGTACAAATAACGATACACAAAGAATAGATGAAGAAGATAAAGAGTTTTTTTGACTTCGCGTATTCTCAAAAAGATCGAGCATCTTTATATAGGTGACTTTTTAATTTGATTGTTGCAAATTCTTGAGATATACGGGTCAACTTGTTTTGTTTAACTTCATCTTTCTTCTATGTAGAGTGATGTGTTTGATGGTGTAATAAATGTTTGCTAAAAGCATTTCACCAAATAATCAATTCTTATTTAATCAGGAGGACTACTTATCATTTTTAAGGTATAAAAGGAAATGAATTGTAGTGTGTGTTAGTCAAAAATAACTTTTGGTTGATTTGCATACTTCTAGATTTCTACTTGTTCTTTTCTAACAAAAAGCAAAATCTTGTTCCTTTATGTGTGTGAGTACCAAATAAGATTTTATTTCTTCGATTTGTTAAGGAATATAATAAAAAAAAGGTGATGAGAACATTAAGCATAGTAAATGTGATATTTAAAATAGTTGTATGAGACAAACAATATGTCTAGTCTGACATATATCATGCATGTACAATGTGTTACATCATTTTCTTATATGATTTATACTATTGTCTTTAATGTTTGATATTTTTATGTTTTTCCAAAAAATATTTATGTTTATTAAAATTAAAACTTAATTTTTTAGGAGTCATAGATTGTTCTTTGATATAACAATATCTCCCTTTTTAATAGTGACAAACACATTTTTGAAAAACTAATTTTTAACATATAAAATCTCTTCATATTCAATTTCAAATGATATAAGATCATACATATAGAGCATGTTATTAAAATAAAACATATCAAAGTATAATGACATGTATATATACATACATGCATATGCATATATATATATATATATATATA